TTCACAATTTAAACGTTTTCTGCTTTACAGTTAATAATTGAATAGTACACTACTACGCGAAGTGGGGGTACGGGTAGTATGTCTCACAGTCTCTGAACCACATTATTTTCCCTACTGCCAAGCCCTCTCTGCAATGCTAAAGCCCTAAATAAAGCAAGTCTAGATTTCCTCTAGTTCTGAATCTCTGGTCTCCCTAGGGCTCCTTTTCAATTTAAATGTTACTATCAAAATTATATATACATGTATTCAAAGACTAAGCCTTAGTCTAGGGCACGGGAGGCTCAATTGTTTAAGGCAATTCGCTGTGCATCAAAAACCTTGAGCGTTCGAATCTCGGTTGGCCCCGAAAATGTTTGACTGCATCATACCCCATTCGTAACTACTCGTGTCATTCTGGCAAGCCGGATGGCGTCTCGTACCCTTCCATTCGTAACTACTCGCCTCTTTCCGTGACCTACAAGAAGAGGGGTACGAGACGCCATCCGGCTTGCCGGAATGACACGAGTAGTTACGAATGGTACCCTTCTCGTGGCCATATTTACGACTGGGCCCTGTCTAAGCGCAAACGGGAATGGAGATTAAAATAGTCTAGTACTATTGCCAAGGAAAGATAACTCTGAATTTCCAAACATGGCTCCTAGAATATCCTATATCCCGTGGACAAAACAGCAATACAGTCATTCCCTTTGTAAATATGTTTCAGTGTTTAAAGTTTCTGATCCTTTAGCTCAAAGTTTATGTTTAAATTGTGCTTTGCATAGTTTAGCGAAGTTTCAAACTTCAAAGGTGCCGCCTTTTTCATGCTTCGAAATGCGTTTTACTACGCGCGATTTGATTGGTTTGCCACGATTCTTGGCAATAATGGCGTACGATAGGGGTACGAGTCTTCTTGTAGGTCACGGAAAGAGGCGAGTAGTTACGAATGCATCATAGCCGTGCTCCATTCGTAACTACTCAACCCTTCCGTGACCTACAAGAAGATCCGGCTTGCCGGAATGACACGAGTAGTTACGAATGACTCGTGCTCGTGGGTTTTACCAAAGTGGGGATCATTCAAAGCTGGCTCGCTCACTCACTCACTCACTCGACATACATAGCGACATGATACCGTCCCCATAGTCCCCACACATGTTCTTTCGGACACAATTAGCCATTGCCCCGTGGTAGGGGAAGTGGAAGGGCCACAGACGCGTCACGACCGCCTGAAGGAGGTATGGGACAGACGCTATAGTGGGGAATCTATTCTCACCAGCTCTCTTTGGAATTGGCTGACGGCAGTCTAATCATTCATATGGCGTTGTGACGGGTTCTAATTGTTACAGCGCCGTGAGATCCGTTCCAACACGGCGACTGCGACGGAGGGCGCTACATGTGCAGTTACTGGTCACGTGTCATGGCCACCAACAACCAAACCCCCAACCCCTCCCCGCGCGATAAAAAATCAATTACTATACCTGACCCAAGTAGATTAGATGTTAAAGGGGCACTGATCGCTGGCTTCAGCCTGGCTTTCTAACCCTGCCACCTAGGATATTAGCTGTCGGGAGCCGTTGAACTGGCTTTAACGCAAATTTGCGTGGCAAGAGACTGGGCTACCGTCTGCAAGGACAGCGTAACAAATTTTGAGAACATCGATAGTTTCGCAACACATTAGATCTAATATTTTGCGGTGAAGTTGGGATGGAGGAATTCCTTTCAGAGTAAGAACATTGTTTCCGCGACTGCTTACATACTTACAACATTTCCCTTTGTAAGATAACAGTTACTGTAACGGGTTAGGCGGCTGACTTTGTGTGCTGGCGATTAGGTGCCTGACTCTGAGGGTATGGGTTCGAATCCCGAATGACTCATTTGAATGACTCCATCCCTTAACATTTAACAAGCTATTGGAGCATGGGCGTGGCCTTGATGTTATACCGTTCGTTGGTTACGTTGAACTCGATTTCGATTCCCCTTATGGCAATAACGTGTGAAGCCCATTTTCCGTGTCCCCGTCCCGAAATTATAGGAATATTGCTAGCCTAACATTTAACATAGGTTAAATGAAATATTTTACAGAACAAAACTGCTATAAACCATACTCACTCACTCACTCACTCACAGACAGGGTACATTTTAACACCCATCATTCATACTTCGGACAATGCATTCCGGATTAACAGGGTTTCATTATATAGAGAGTCTATTGTACTGAATATTCCAGTATAGAGGCTTGATCTATGCATTTGGTATATGTATTTGGTAAATGTTTGACCAGTTAAACGCATTTGTGAGTGAGTGAGTATGGTTTTACGCCGCTTTTAGCAATATTCCAGCAATATCACGGTGGGGAACACCAGAAATGGGCTTCACACATTGTACCCATGTGGGGAATCGAACCCGGGCCTTCAGCGTGACGAGCGAACGCTTTAACCACTAGGCTACCCCACCGCCCTGAACGCATTTGTAATATGTTTTCATCTTAGGGGGTATCATGAGAACCAGGTATATTTGTTCAATGGATAAAAGAGAACCCATTATCATTGTTCATATCACATGATGTTTGTCACAGGAGAATAACAAGATTGTTGTTTTACATTATTTTGCAGATTTTATTATTAATAAGGTTATAAAATCAATGAGAATATACAAACAAGTATGTGGGCTGCATCAAACGACAAAGTATAATGCCACCAAAGTCACTCAAAAATCACCTCGATACATATTTTCTACTTCCATTCGTTTTCAATTTATTTTATAAACTATTTATACAGTGAAAGTGTATCCTTGAGATAAGCCAATATATTTCGATCGTATGTACCCTAGGAACACTACACCTGTCACTTACAATTGAGTGTATACGTTTCAAGAACAAGAATAATCAGAACCACTTGTGCTTACCAATTTATTGTCTTCAAATTATATACTCATGCCAATAATGGTTGTCACCCCACTCCCCACCCCAACCCCACACACACCCCCACCCCAACCCCACACACACCCACACCCCTCTCCAATGAAAAAAATTGAAGGGGGTGACAATCATTATTGCTAGTATTTATATATGTACCTATGTATGTATCTAAGTGTGTATATATGTCAACAATCTTTTCATATTTTTTATACGCTTTTTAAATATTGCTAATATTCTTTTTTAAGGTGTCATTGCGGCCTCTCGAGGCCTGGTGTTTGCATTTTATATGCTGTACTATGCTGTCCCATCATTTATAACACATGACACTATAATAAACTACTACTATATTATTGGCATGAGTATACATATCAGAAAATAACGCAACTTGTGACTTTGTCCCGATATTGTTAGTTTCAAAATACACAACACTAAGTCTCCCACATTCTATTTCGCATGTTCAATTTGCCATCACACACTCCCACAGTTCATAAATATCTAAAATGGAAGATTTTTTGCCAATTAAAAAACCCATTTGTAACCGTCTGGGTCTAATACAAAGCAACACATTATATATATTATGAATAGAAACCTTTACTTCTGAAAGAAAGAGATATTGGAAAGTTTGAAATGTCAAAACCACCACGTTCGTTAATGCACAAAACACCACTGGTAATTGCCCATGAATCTTTTATGATTTCCATATGCATTCCTGTCGAGAGCTTTCATCAGCGCTACAGTTCTGCGATACAATCACCGATAGTGTACAGTTAAAGCCGACTCTGACTGGCCAGTCATCCGTCTTGCTTAATCGGAGAGTGCGATGATCTTCCGCGCTAGATTACAGTGTTAAAATAATTGGGAACTGCATTGTCATCGATTTTGAAGGTTCTGCAACTTCGACAAGAACTTAATTACACCTTCTAAAATAAAACGTCAAATTAAGGTCTGATCTGGCACGTCTAATGATAATAAACGAGAAATCTGCTTCAGGCAATGTGTTTTTCGCTGACCATGCACTGAAGTGAAGCTGTGGAAGTGAACGAAAAGTATGTGGTTCTGATCCAACATCAACTGGACATGAGCTGACTAATAACATATATTGTTTCTGTCTGTGTGTGTTAAGGCAACTGATCGTTTAAAACAGTCGGTTTCCCAAGAGTTTGTAATTATATATAGTCACCATTCGATCAGCGGTCGGTTTCAGACGTAGGGCGGACGCAGCGTTCGGGAAGTAATAATGCTAAGATTAGTGCTCTTTTACGTGAATTGCGAAAATACTTTCAGTGTTTATATAGCCGACAGCACCAATTTATCAGCTTTCAGCGACGTTGTACTTGGAAGCTATTAACTAGCATTTGTTCTGCAAACAGAAATTGACAATGCTTACAATACACGGCAATATAATTATTTGTGTATATTTGCTCTTGGATCAGGAAAGAAGATTTAATTTAGATGATTTGCGCTAAGATGTGCCTAATCAAAATGTATTTCACTCAAACACAAACGTAAATTATCCGTAATTACTACATTAATGCCTTCAGGTTTTGCTTGGAATCAACCCAGGGTTTCGTCTTGTTATATTTCGTTAGACTGTGTATGAATTTTGTGTAATGTGTTGATTGAATCATGTTGTCGAAGTTAAAGGAGTATTTAGTGGAGAGTTGTGTACCTTGGATGTGTAAGGATTCCGAATCTTATTCCTGAGCATGTTTCTAAGCATCATACCTTTAGGGGGGGGGGGATCAACTCAACGTTCTAACGTATACATCAACAGCAACAACAAAGACAACAACTCACTCACTCACTCACTCACTGTTTTCCTTATTTGTAACCCGTGAAGCTACGGGTTCAGTAACCCAAGCTTGTCTATGAGGCGACTAACGGGATCGGGCGGTCAAGCTCGCTTACTTGGTTGACGCATGTCATTGTATCCTAATTGCGTAGATCGATGCTCACGGTGTTAATCACTGGATTGTCTGATTCAGACTCGATTATTTACAGACCGCCAAAATATAATTGGAATATTTAGTTGGCGTGCTTCATTATACAATTAACAAACAACATCTTGATTCGTATTTCTAAAGAACTTCTGTTTCTATGTCCCCAGATTGCCATGAAATTTACCAATCTGGGTACCGAACGAATGGACTCTATAAGATCCATGCGAAGGGCGCCCGACTGATGACAGCAGTGTACTGTGAAATGGTCAACAAGACTGGCTACCTTGTCCTTCAGCGTCGCATAGACGGGCTTCTCAACTTCAACAGACGCTGGCTGGAGTACAAACACGGCTTCGGCAACCCTTACGGCGAGTTCTACATCGGCAACGAGTTACTCCACCTTCTTACCAAACAGAAGCAGTACATCCTCAGAGTAGACATGTGGGACTGGGAAGGGAACAAGGCTTATGCTGAGTACAACGTCTTCGCCGTCGAGGGTGAGGCCAACCATTATCGTCTCCATGTCAACGGTTACCGTGGTGACGCAGGTGACTCGTTGAATTTACATGACAACATGGCCTTCAGCACAGAGGACGTGGACAACGACCTCCACGCCCGGCACTGTGCGGCGGAAAACAAGGGAGGATGGTGGTTCAACAGCTGTTACTCCAGCAATTTGAACGGCGTCTTCCACACGGCGTGGTACTCGCAGTCGCGCTCCAAGTATGCCGACGGCGTCGTGTGGTACACGTGGAAGGGGTCTGAGTTCTACTCCCTGAAACAGACAGAGATGAAGATACGACCTAAAGTACCCTAACTGAAGAACACCAAGAGATAGAAATGAAGGAAAAAACATAAGAAAAGGAAAAAGACTCACATCCGGCGTTTTAAACCGCCCGCAGCAATCATAACATAGGAAAATGTGTCTTTGTGTCGAGATATGTTGTGAGTAAGATTTCGAGAAAGGGATAATATAAGTTGTTTGAAATTCAAGTGGAAGAAAATACTTTGTTTTGGACGTGAGCCTTTGTAGAAGGTAAGCTTTATTTGTTGAAAAGAAACGACACTTAAGGGGTGGTTTTCTGTGACGTAGATCAATGGCGCTCAGAACTGTAAGAATTTACACCCGTCTTCATGAGAATATTGAAACTGTTGTTAAATTTGATTATGTCTGTTCAACCATATCCCATTTTTGTAACATTTTGTGAAGGGTCGGGGGTGAATTTTGCGTTAAAATAAATTGGTTAAATTAAAGACGGGGCTGAGAAAGGAATCTGCAAACACACGACCTCTACCATGTTTCAAATGTAAATTTGTGCTGAGAACAGAAAATTTATTGATTTTCAAAGATCAGATGTCAAAAATACCCATTCGTAATTGTGCATTATGCGAAAACATGTAGAATTATTATTTAAGTTCTGACTGATCGTCATATCATTTCATTTTTAAGATAATATCAATAACTTCAGATATTTCCAATTCAAAATATAACATAATATAAAAACAACTGAACGATATGGTTTTCTTTTCCCCTTATGTCAGGTAAAATTTAATTTTATTACTGTTTTCTTTTTTAACTTTAACATAATAGAATACAAACATGTATGCATTTACAAACATATACGATTGACATAATAGGTTTCTGTATATTGAGCTTCATATTCGCCTTCATATGCAGATGTACATCATTTGTTCAGTTTTTGTGGTATATAGAAAGATCAAGTAAAAGAGATTGTTTGGCTAAAGCGATTATTTGGAGCATTCGTGTTGTATAAGAGATATTGTCAAGGACCTTTTAAAGAACGAAAATATTGTGTATACGTATCTATACCAATCAATATTGATCTGTGGAAGATTTTGAAAGCTTACTCACGCTTTATAGAACCAGGAAAACACCGTGTCGGTCAGGTCTGTCCTTTTTGTATATTTAATTATACAGATTAATTGACAAGATTAATTACGTGTTACATAGAACGTGGCAAGTATTCCGGCTTGTTAACATAAGAAAAATAGGTCTCATTGAACGTTATTCCATGTATAAAGGCGATCTGTAAATAATCGACACAATCCAGTGATTGAAATCATGAGCATCAATACACGCAGTAGGATTCGATGACATGCATCAACCAAGTTAACGAGCTTGTCAACCTGATCCCGTTATTTGTCCCTTACAACAAGCGGTCGTAACCCATCTATAATGGAGTTCGATATAATTATTATATATGACACCGTATTAGTGTATTTGTAATCTGAACAAATGTTTATTGGTTTCATTGGTGAGGTGAGGTGAAATTGGGTTTAACGTCGTGCCTGGGAATATTTCGCTCATATGACGACGTGCATGCGTGTGTATGTGTATGTGTGGCTGCCTGTACTAGCCCAGACTGAAGCTGGTTTTATAGTGCTAGCCCACTGAGGTACCATGCCGCAGTGAAGCATGAATTCCCCACTCAGACACAAGCCGACTCAGACACAAGCCGACCAGTCCTTGCTGTACCCATTTATGCCGATCGTCAGGCAGGGACCAACAAGTAGCATATTTTAACGTCTTTTGGTATGACGCGGTCGGGGATCGAACCCGCGACCTTCCGCTCTCCGGGCGGACGCTCTAACCACTACACCACGGAGGCGGTCGGTTTCATTGGGAACATGTTAGAATAATGTGTGTTTTTTTCTGGTTTTACAAAGCTTACACCTCTCAACAGAATCTCGTGACACTCCAGGGACGGTGGGGTAGCCTGGTGGTTAAAGCGTTCGCTCGTCACGCCGCAGACCCGAGTTCGATTCCCCACATGGGTATAATGTGTGAAGCCCATTTCCGGTGCCCCCGCCGTGATATTGCTGGAATATTGCTAAGAGCGGCGTAAAACCATACTCACTCACTCTTGACACTCCTGTATGATACATAATGGTGTGTATACTTTATTTTGCCCGACACTGTACGAAACGCCGTTTGTAATCTACATAGATTCACTTTAACGATAGAGTAACAGTGAATGTAATTACCGTCTTTCTTGATTAATATTGTTGAGTATTGTATATTGTGAATATATGTGTTGAAGTTTTGCCATTTACACTGCACGTGTGTACAGTCGTGTTTTAAGTATTACAAACTGTGATAATTAGGCTTTGTTGAGGCACAATATTTTGTGAGCAGTCCTGTTTGTTGTGTATAAAACATGTTAAGCGGTTCTAAATATTATTTCAAATTTTACCTTTACAGGTTTGAGTTTTGTCGCTGGGGATACCACGCATGTACAAATGCATATGCTTGTTTGTTTGTTGATAATGTGTATAAATGTTAAGCTGTTAATGTTATTTGAAATCTTCCCTTTGCAGGTTTGAGTTTGGTACATGTATAGTCGTATAGAGGTTTCCGGCAAATACATTCGTCAAGTGTTAAAAATTCCAAAGGTTTAGAAATTTATTCTTATTCATGCATACCATAATGAATACGGATCATTTATGAGAAAAGACTGCGTATTATGTTTCTGAAACCAACATTTGGACTCGAGAATGTTTTCTTAACTTTAGTATAAGTGCTACAGTACTCCAACAGTTAAAGCAGGGTGCTTTATGTCACTACATCAACATTCCTAGTCATTGTACAGGTGACAGCAACAATTCTTTTTAAATTTGTTTTCGATTACATCTGAACCCATGGCTTAAAAAATGAGCATCTTGTTAAATCGCTTTTATTACTTGTGAATTTGATTCCTCGCATAACTCGTGTTGCTTGTCATATATATCTATATATAGTACTTTCTTTATAATTTACAATGGATTAATTAATATTCATATTTCACACAATATTTCACATGATGTACTGCAGCCATGCAAATTTCAATTTTCTGCCATTCCAAGTCAATGCGAAATTTCGATTGCAATCGCAACCTAAAAATGCCACACTTACATGTATCAAAATATTGTTTTTGTTAATAAAAGATTCAAAGATGATGTTTCTTAGTTTTATTTCATATACATACATTACATTGTATTTAAAGGAAAGAATCAGTCAGAACACACGCCTCCATGACTGTACATTGTGTGTATGGAGTAGCTACAGGTTTGCCCGTCCTAGAACATTGAAGGAAACACAATGAGGACTATCACAGATTGACATTTAATTAAAACTGTCTACAACGGATATTAAAAATATGAAATTACAATGTCTGCTTATTGTTGAAATTGCAAATATATCGAAAAGTATTTAATTGAATACGCAGCCATATGAACAAAGGCCCCTCTGAAACGAGAGCAAAGACGGTGCAAATTGAATATTCAGTAAAGAAAATGTAGATTGTAGTTTAAGCATCGTTTTCCCAGTATAATAAATACTTCATTTTATTTATGAAAAACGATGAAAATGTGAGGAATGTGCTATCGATACTGAAAAATCATTGATAAAACATGGGTTTACAAGCACACACTACAGCAGTCGATATTAGATATATATTTTGCTCTATTGTAGACCTTTCACAACGTGCTATGTAATAACACTAATAACTAGAGTAATAACTATAACATATAAAACCCATGTCCTGTGTTCTCTGTCCACCGTTCATTAAGGGTCAGTAAACACCACAAAATCGGATGTTAAGAAGTATTCAGTCAAAATCTGTTTTCATGAGTCATAAATATTATCAGATTATTGCTAAAGGTCACATGCAACCAAAAAATCAAACATAATTAAAACACAATTATCACTTATTCATGAGATATAATATACATTGCTGGTTATGAAAAAACATATAAACAAAATTATAAGCGTACAATCGCAAATCAAAAGTGCAATATTGTGTACTTCGGTTTACTTCCCTAGAAACGAAGCAGCCGGGATACCGAACCCAGTCAGAGCGGGTGGGTCTGCACTCAAGTGTAACGGCTGGTTCATTTGCAGATGCCCTCACGGCTCACTGTGTGTGTATATATAGAGATGTTGGGTTTTGTAAATACATGCTCATTTTTTGTGTATAACATTTTGCAATCAACAGACATCATAACATGTCATGTGTTCAAGTATCACCCCTGCCTGTCTGTGTAATTACATAATGTGACAAAGACCGAACTCGGACCAGAAATTAATGCATTTTGTTTATGGTGTATAGCCTGTTTGGTGTTAAGTTCAAATTGCATGTGGTCAGTGATAGCAGCTGTGTATTGAATATTGTCATTAGCAGACAGGCAGGCAGACACACAGGTGTCAATAAAACAAGACATTGAGTTTTGTCTGTGACAACGACATATCTATATCACAGTGAGAAATTCTGTCAACGCTGAATAATGATATTGCTTTTAAGTATCGAACTGAGAAGTGACTCGGTAAGAAGAACGTGTGGTGAAATAGACAAATGAAATTGTATAAACAGTTTATTTACTGTCATAAATATAAAAAAGCTCGCGCCTGTGAGATATCAACAAAACATTAGAAAAAAAGCTCACACCAAAGCCTTCACCGAGTATTCACCGGACAACCCGTTTCCAAGCTGCGCGAACCTATTTCACTGCGCACATGCTATGAGCGCAGCCCAGCTGTTGAAACCCGTTTTCCCCAGAAAAGTCTGGGGAAATTTAGTGAAACGTTTGAACTCCGATTTCGCGCGTTTTTTTTCATCGCGTTATTTTTCAACTTTATAAGTTGAATTTGCATTTTTTGACGATTTGTTTCGGTAAGTCCATACCGAAAGGTATCAGAATCTGCAAAGTTGTGTTTTACGTTGCATGTGACCTTTAACATATTATCATGAAGCCACTTGTTCGTGACCGAGGTATCATGTTGACAATTCGTGCTATGATACAATTGTTACAACTTTGCGCTGTTCTTGTCGGGTCATGTCCCAGGCAGTTAGTTATTTCATTGTCATGGAAATGCTGCAAGTAACGGCTGAACGGGATGACATGACATTGCTGAAGTAGAAGTCTTATTGCTGCCATGACATGTCTCCAGGAACTGAGTTTTCTTGTTGTCATGGCATTGCTGAAAGTAACGGTTGTTCCTGAAGCCGGCACATGTTTGCCAGTAACCATTGTTCTTTTCTTACAAATAACGGTTGTTCAATTCTTGTCATACAAACATGAATTGCACTTGAACATCACATCTTGACACTGTTACAAGAAAGGAAAGTTTATGGTACTATATTGTTCCAAGAAGGAGATTGTTGTCGTTGTCATGACATTGTTCCAAGTAAGGTGTATTCTTTCTGCTGTACCATTTTACATCATCGAACATGACAATAGCCTAAGTACCAAAAAGGCCTTGCTGTCTAACAAATGTTCCAAGCAAGGTGTGCTCTTGGTGCTGTACCATTTTACATCACCTTTACACCGAAACCTGACAATACCACAAGTATTTAAAGGCCCTGTTGCCTAGCCAAAGTTGAAGTGAGGAGTTTCTTCCTGCCTAGCCAAAGTTGAAGTTTGGAGTTTCCTCGTTGACATGACCTCAGTAAGGAGTGTCCTTGTGATCACCGACATGCAAGTTATTGCTGTCATGCATGAAGTATTTACAGCCATGATCGAAGCATCCTGTCTGAAGTGCTCTATTTACAGGATGGGAGAAGAACGGATTCTGGCATGTGTCGTGACAGCCGCTGGAGAAGTTGGCGAGTCTCTGAAAACAGGAATCAATAATGTACTGGGGAAGTTGAAAGTGAATGAACTGATTGTGCCATGGGATATTGGGAACTATTGCCTGACCCCCCATCCCAGATACATATATAATACGGCACCGTTGGCTAACATGATTGAGAACCGGATTAATCGATGACATTCAGTACTCCGAGAATACATCGGCTGTTAATGGTGGTGTACCTTTCAGTTTTTCTTCCAGAGCCCCCTTGGCGGTCCTCTCCTGTTCGATCTCCGACCACAGGTTCTCTACAAGGGAGCGGAACAGTAAAGTATTAGCTTACAGCATCTCAACAGTTGTATTATTGTGTACATCAGACAAGATTAACGCAAACATCATTTGAAACAGTTACACCTCTTGTAAATGAGCGCTTTCACCGGGGTGCTTCTCAATCGAATTTTCTTTGATCCGAGAATTCGTTAATAATCTGGATGAAGACACTTCGCCTGAGTTAGTGGGTGAGTGGATGGGTGAGTGAGTGCATGGGTTGGTGAGTGAGAGAGTTGTGGCATTGGCTGAGTGAGCGAGCGAGCCAGATTAAGGTGGAACAAGTCTTACACGTTTATCACCCGTCTAGATCCGGGTTAGAATTGATCTTCAGTAACCCATGCTTGTCGTACGAGGCGTCTAACGGGATCGGGTGGTCAGGCTCGCTGACTTGGTTGACATCGTATCCCAACTGCGTACATTGATACTCATGCTGTTGATCACTGGATTGTCTGGTCCAGACTCGATTATTTACAGACAGCCGCCATATAACTGGAATATTGCTGGGTGCGGCGTAAAACTAAACTCACTCACTCACTCACTTAGACGTTTATCACTCTGAAGCTGACAAACCTGGAAACATAATCGGGCTTAACCGGGATTCGAACCTATAAACACCGGTCCCTGGCGAGCCTTAAGCCCACTACTCGAATCACCTAAAACGACTGTGCCACCGGTGTCCCCACTTAACGTAACAGTGTTAAAATATGCAATGTAAATCATGGAATTAAATTTGTAAGACGATGGTGTGATGTCGTGTTCCCAGTACTTGATCTTACACATGATACAGTCTCCAAACATGAACTTTACACACTTATACCTAGGTCAACAGATCTTTACACATTGGCTGTGCATTCTCAACTCCTTTTTATTACATCATGGACAGGACCGCTGTGGCTCCTGATGTGTAGAGGACAAGTGGGACGAACTGGATGAATGAGTTTGGGAGGTTTAACACCGCTCCAGACAGTGTCATATAACGGCGAGCATAATGTAGATGCCATTCTTGAGGCAAGGGGCGAACTTCTACCAATTCTGTGAAAACTACGGAGAAAGGTGTAAAAACAAGTCCATACCGTAGACGTGAACCATTGGAGGAAGCCCACCTTAAATGTCAGTTGTGCATTACGATAAGTTTGCAAATGGATTACGTGACAGTGTTGACACATTTCTAGCATACAAACAGATACTTCGGCATCTCGACCTGGACCCTAGTCTACTAAGTTATCGTGTCACTTTAACTATGTCTAACCTTTGATCGAGCAGAACTGCCTGGCAAATTCCTCTCTCAGTTCCAGTTCCTTCAGGGCTCTGAGCCGCAGCATGTCTACAAAATACGAATGAGTGAGTGAGTTTAATTTTACGCCGCACTCGGGATGCTCTTTCTCCGGCATGACCTAGTGGACCAAGGCGTCGGGTTCGAATCCGAATTGTCAATGTGTGATTTGCAGTTGGTTTGGTTGGTCTGTTGTTTAACACCACTCTCAGCAATATTCCAGCTATATGGCGGCGGTCTGTAAATAATCGTGTCTGGACCAGACAATCCAGTGATCAACAGCCTGAGCAGCGATCTGCGCAATTGGGAACCGATGACATGTGTCAACCAAGTCAGCGAGCCTGACCACCCGATCCCGTTAGTCGCCTCTTACACAAAAAATGAATGAATTATATTTAACGCCGCTTTGAATATCAAGTATATCATGGCGTGTTTGCTAAATGTGGAATTGGAATGAGTGAGTGAATTTAGTTTTACGACGCTTTTAGCAATATTCCTGCAATATCATGGCGGGCCTTGGGAAATCAGATTCTGTTAAAAAAACGTTACGTTGGTGGGCGTTTAAGGGTAAAATATAATTCAACTTAACTCAGTTATCACTGAAGATGGTTTTCAAACTCACTCTGAATCTTTTTGTGATCTTTCTCAGCAACTCTCCGCTGAGTCATCGCCTTTGAAACGGCGTTCCGCAGAGAATCTGTGATAATAAAATAGAAACGGCTTGGTGTTTATTACTGATATTTTGAAAACGCATTTAGAATTAATGAATAGAAAAATGAATATGTGGCATTTGATTTTTCAGAGATCCATGTGCGCATATTTTATGAGTGCCTGTTAATGGTAGTTTTGCGTGTACAGTACAACAGCCCAGAGCTTGACACAGTTGTGAAATACACAATGCCATTTAGAAAGTGGTCAAATGTAACACGTTATATTTGGGATTACACTTTCTTAGTTAAGTACAAATTCTAGCACTTTTGTTAGGTTGAGTCCCCTACAGGATTCGAACCCTCATCCTAGTCAGGAACCTAATCGCCAGCACACAAAGTCAGCCGTCTAACCCGCTCAGCTACCGCGACTTCCACAAAATGGAAGTCAGACAACTGGTAGTCTAGACTGCGGACTTTGTGTACCCCTCTTATAAATGTAAATTGGCACGGGTCCCACGGCCGAAAGCTATGAACGCACAATGCCATTTAGAAAGTGGTCAAATGTAATACATATTATATTTGGGATTACATTTTCTCAGTAAAGTATAGAGTTGGTTGCCTGGAAATTTAGAAACTCTTTCGTTGTTAATTGTTAGTACGAATTAAGCGGTTGACTGAGATGTGTGTACATCGTATTATTTCACAGTATTTCTCTTGTATCACGGTGTGTCAGTATGTGGGAGGACAGCCTTAGCTGCACAGGTCATAGATTGTTTCCACTATTGTGAAACCCAAGATCAATCTATAGGGTGCTGGGAAACAAATGATTACATTGTAGGTTCCTGAAACACCTAAGGGAGCCAACTCTGCACAAGGAAGCAACGCTGTTATGGCGATGACAAACCTAGGATCATAATTACGAAGAATTCAGGAGTCGAGCCAAAGATAAGCCGGTCCCAGCGAAACAGAACGGAAAACATTAATATAACACATGAATGTATTCTGGAAAAGGTTGTCTTCTCTTGAAAATATAACCACATGAGTTGGGATTGACATAATAGGTTCGAGACATCGTTATCTTCGAGAAAAGTCAGTTCAACACAGAAAATAATTTATTTCTAACCAAGAATTGGTGAGCTAAGTTCAACGCCGTTTTTCATGATTCCAGAAATAGCATGGTGGAGAAACCAGAAATTGGCTTCAAACCTATACGCAATCGATGAAACCCCGTCCTTAAGAATATCCCAACCGCCCTTTAAGTGTTTAGCGCAGTTAAGGAAACGTATCCTAAACACGTACAATATTGTGAATCCCAGTACACTGACATTTAAGGTGTAAGTTTACAGATCTCTATTGATGGATGAGGCCAATATTCCATCCCGTGGTGTTACATAGACAAGCTATTAATACCTGCTGCGTACTTCTAGTTCAGCTGGGGACTTTCACACATACAATGTTCGTTCCAAACAGACAAATATTTAAGTGCCAGGATCAAGCCTTGGACATATAACCTATAGTGTTTTGACGTGTCCATTTCGACGTATATTATTTATAAGTGGATCTTCGCAAGGTATCTGAGTCTCTGTGTTAGCTTATTTAAATGTAGGAAACAAATAACGTAGTGTCGTAGAACAAGGCTACGTGTGGGTTTAAGCACACTAAGTTGTATTTGAAATCGAACGCGCAGCATAAGGTTTCAAATGTGTAATTTAGCGCTGCTAAATCGACAGGGAAACAAGCACTCAATTGAACACGTTGGGAGTTCCCACCTCAGATACTTTCCAACAAATCTAAACTTCCTCTCTGATATGAATTAACGTCAAATAATCTGCTTGAAAAATCTCAGGTAGTTATTGTGATTTGAAACATCTAATTTAGAAATACGACCTGAGCAGTTTCCACTTCATGGTTTGTTTGGTTCTTGTTTTACGCCGCACTCAGCAATATTCCAGCTATACGGCAGCGGTCTGTAAATAATCGACCGGAGAGTCCAGTGATCAACAGCATGAGCATCGATCTACGCAATTGGGATACGATGACATGTGTCAACCAAGTCAGCGAGCCTGACCACCCGATCCCGTTAGTTGCTTCTTATGACAAGCATAAGATGCTGAAGACCAATTCTAACCCGGACCTTCAGGGGTTTTATACATTAGCATACACCAGGGAGGTATCACCTATTGGCATCAGCTGGAGGTGCTCTGTGTCCAGGCCCCCATCCAAGTCAACTTCAGCAGCTGCCATGTCTGAAAAAAAAGCAAAGTGTTGATAATGTGCCCACATAATGCCATGTCTATATCAATATATTTTAGACAAGCTGATTGTTTTTGTTATTAAATTAGAATCTTAAACGACATCAGTGTGCAGTGTATGTCCGTGTTTGACTGTGATTAAAAATGAGTGAGTATGGTTTTACGCTGCTTTTAGCAATATTCCAGCAATATCACGGCGGAGGTATTGAACATGAATCAAACAATAAAATGATTATTAAATGTTGATGCGTGTGATACGGGTATTTATAACCTTAAGTTATCAATGATTCGGTGACTGTTATCAACCAAGTAACTTTTGAATAACGATTGCAATGTTTAAGTGGAATTTAATTTTTGAGTGTATACATTCTTTAGCCCGGCGATGATACATAATGAATTCCCTTCACCCTATTCCGTATTTTGTTGTCAGGATTAACGAATTTCCGGATTACGGATTTGTAGGTTCCAAAATATTGTCCCTTATATTACATCATGTCGAAGTTCCCGAACGTATTTATTTGGAAAGTGTATTCTCGCAAATACAAACATAGGTTTCCCGTAAATAATTCATTATCTACTTCCTATCATATGGATACTTTGTCTCTGCCAAATAATTCGTACAAATTAAAAGTGCTATATTTGAGAAGTTTTCATTTCAAGAGATCAAAGATTTATAGCTGTCTCTAAAGTTAATTATTCATGGCTTTGAAAGTAAAGCTGTTTTGTTCAACATTATCGTGATCTCAGACCTGACAAGTTTCGCTCATTTATAAACCCATTATCTTTAACTCGAGAACAGAGATCAACTCCAAGCTCTTTACAATAGTCCGTTCACGAACCTCTGCTGACTCACGAAGCGCCGAATAGTCTTTCCTGAAAGAACTGTTTTTGTTTGTATGTTTGAAAATCACGTTTTATTTTAAGTATGATGTAATGTTGAAGTTTGTGTTGTTTTGTTTGTTTTATTGTTTATTGCAATATTCCAGCTATATGACGGCAGTCTGTAAATAATCGAGTCTGAACCAGACTATCCCGTGATTGACATTATGAGCATCGATCTACGCAATTAGGACACGATGACATGCATCGCCTGACCACCGGATTCTGTTAGCTACCTCCTGGTGGGGTCTGGACGGGACTTGGGGTTTTACTAGGGGAGAGGAGGGTAAGGTTGGGGAATGGTTAGGTGGGTTGGTAGCATTTGGTCACTAATGGTTGTCATATTATTTTAATGCCCCACTCCATGCCATTTTATTATTAAATGTCAATTTTTACACGACTCTCCCCAAGTATGTGGACTGTTATTTTCTTATATCGACAAAATACCAGAAATACCAAATCACCCACAAAACTTTTTCCTTATTCACTGTCGTGGCATTCCCACCGACAAGATGGTACTCGGTGTGAGGGGTCCAGTGTAATATCCTTGTAATGACTGCGTCCATACTGGTGGATGCTATGATAAATGGTGGTTGTCGCGCGATCGGAGCATCCCCTCTCAAGGGAGATAACCCAGAGACGGGGGTCGACTTCGTTATTGCACGCTTGATGCCGCAGGCGTTTCATAGGAAAATAGGTCATAGTTGCATTTACATATATATTTGAAATAATATAGAATAACGGTAGATATGGGTTTTCACATACACACAGGAATCCCCTAGATGATTCCTCGGGATGCTCTTTCTCCAGCATGACCTAGTGGACCAAGGCGTCGGGTTCGAATCCGAATTGTCAATGTGTGATTCGTAGTTGGATTGGTATGTTTTGTTGTTAACACCACTCTCAGCAATATTTCAGCTATATGGAGGCGGTCTCTAAATAATCGAGTCTGGGCCAGACAATCCAGTGATCATCAGCATGAGCATCGATCTACACAATTGGGATACGATGACATGTGTCAACCAAGTCAGCGAGCCTGACCACCGGATCCTGTTAGTCGCCTCATACAAGCATGGGGCACTGAAGACCAATTCTAACCCGGATCTTCACGGGTCGTGTGATTTGTAGTAAACACAGCAATAGGCTGACACACCTGTGATATACTGTTCAATACGGGAAGAACAAATCCAACTCATTCACATCCATTAGACACGTTATTTTATCTGGGGCTAATACGGGCCCAAGTCTCCAGAGTAACTAGGCTCGTTCTCTCGCACAATGGTTTATTTTGTTCTGGCATCATGGCCAAATGTTATTTGATAATTATTCCAGGAATAATCGCCAAATGACATCTGTTGGAACGTTAATGTGTGATGCCGTGTTTGCTTCATGCGCCTTGGGATTTGCGGAACTGTGAAAGTGTTCTCCTAATCCGATTATGGTGTACGACATGCAACGGTTCCTGGGAAAATTCACGCGCTCGGAGTGTTAGTTACATTACTGGGTGTCACTGTCTGGAAACAGCAAACACTGCTACAAGTCGGTTAATCCGTGAAGCCGACATTAGAGTTTAGTTGGTTGGTTTGGTTGGTTTGTTGTTTTACGCCGCACTCAGCAATATTCCAGCTATATAGCGGCGGTCTGTAAATAATCGTGTTTGAACCAGACAGTCCAGTGATCATCAGCATGAGCATGGATCTACGCAATTGGGAACCGATGACATGTCAACCAAGTCAGCGAGCCTGACCGCCCGATCCCGTTAGTCGCCTCTTACGACAAGCATGGGTTACTGAAGACCAATTCTAACCCGGATCTTCACGGAAGAGGTGCAGTTAGAAAGACAAGTGTGATGAAAAACCATCTTCTGTAACACATTTTTCCTTAGTTATAAATTCTACAGACGTTTAGCCATACTTCTGTACTGTAACGTTTGACAAATGCAAAACTTGAAAGTGACAATGACGAATATGGTGTCCGACAACATTCATGACTATGTAGTTGAAAGGTTTTTCTTAAATAAATTTGGTGACAACATTCCTTATACTTGATACTTTACAAATCGTGGCTACATGAGTTATAGGTTTCTGAGTTACCAGAATCCGGATTAATGGGGGTTCAGTGTAATCGATAAAAGATTTATGGTAGAAATACACACTCGTTACATCCTCCTCCGTCGGTTCTTTAGATTTTGCCTCCTCCTCCTGAAACAAAACATGGCTTAGTTTTACGCATCGGAATGTACCAAGTATATAACAATACTTGAAGTAAAGATACCAAGTAGGGACAACGGAAAACTTGACAAAGGTAAGCTATAAGATATAGTAAATCTATGTGTGTATATGTTAGTGAGTGAGTGGATGAGTGGGTGGGTGGTTTTGAGTGAGTGAGTGGGTGAGTGGGTGGGTGGGTGGTTTTGAGGAGTGAGTGAGTGAGTGAGGAGTGAGTGGGTGGGTGGGTGGTTTTGAGTGAGTGAGTGGATGGGTGTGTGGGTGGGTTTGAGTGGAGTGAGTGATTGAGTGGGTGGGTGGGTGGTTTTGAGTGAGTGAGCGGGTGGATGGGTTTGATTGAGTGCTTGAATGAGTGAAGGCGAGTAAGTGGGTGGGTGGGTGGGTTTGAGTGAGTTATTGAGTGGGTGGGTGGGTGGGTTTGAGTGAGTTATTGAGTGAGTGGGTGGGTGGGTGGTTGGGTTTGATTGATTGATTGATTGATTGGGTGGGTGGTGAGTGAGTGGTTGGGTGAGTGAGTGAGTGAGTATGCATTATAAACGTGGTTAGGCGAAGTTCTTTAAATATATGTAACTGTGTGTGTATCGTTTTATGCAATACTCATAAAATACATAGAAACTAAAGATGTACCACGTATACATGTACCATATATGCTTCACACGTTTTATTTCAAGACCTTGATGCATATAAATATAGACCTCGGACTTTGACGTGACGAATGCCATATAGAGGAACAATTGGATTTATCATCCAAAACTGTGTTCCACAGGAGATATCGCTTGTGTGAGATCAAACGATATCTCCTAGGAGATATCGTTTTGACAGTAGATTTTGTACAATGCCCTGACAATGCTATGACGTCATGTACTTGATGACGTCACAATGCTATGACATCGTTGCACTGCAAGTCTAATGGCAGTACCATGTTCAGAGATGTACATTTTTCATTGAAAATTAATGAAGAGTGATTTTGGATGATAAATAGAATCTCACCCTCGTGTCTTCTGATATCAAATATATCAACACTCGTTGATAAAGTAAAATATCCTCGGCAAGCCTCGGATATTTGTAACTTTATCAACTCGTGTTGATATAATTGATATCAGAAGACACTGAGTAATTCTCTATTTATCAGAATACCATAAACAGTAACCCGTTTATAACAAATAGGGGGATATAACGAGCTGTTCTTTGGAGCCTCGGCGTTTTGCTGGACATTTTAGTCGAAATGCGTATAACGAACTACTGTTATAACGAACTAAATTCAGTGATCTCTTCGAATTCATCATAAGCGTAGTTACCTGTAGTTGACCCATACATTGCATACATCAATCCGATACATCACATGGATATGCCACGCATACCATGTCGCTGTACCAGAGGTATGATGAATGCCACACGCAAGGTATCAAAATTCATGTATTTTTGTTTGTTTGTTTGTCGTTTAAGGCCTCACTGAGCAATATTCCAGCTACATGGCGGCGGTCTGTAAATATTCGAATCTGGACCAAGCAATCTAGTGATCAACATCATGAGCATCGCCCTATGTAATTCGGATACAACATACAGTGGTCCCATGTATTTTTACATGCCTACCTACCATACTGTTAAAGCGTTATGGGGGGCAGGAACAAATTCCCTGGCTAAGCATTCCGCTGGTCCCACGCGGTGACACACTGACCGTTAGACCAGCGGTCAGTCATATTTTCACATGCCTGCCATGGTTTCTTCTGTGGCAATCTTGCATGAGAATAACCTCAAATGCCTAACAACATATGCAGAGTAAATCCACCAACGGTGATAATGCTACCGTTACACAGAAAATGCCCAAACAGGCATTTAACGATCGCTGTTAGAACAATGTTACCACTGTGTACAAGTTTGGACTGACAAAGACCGGGTTTCCTCATTAATGTGATGTACTGATATTACAAAGCGCACTAATGAGATGGTTTAGACAAGGCCGTGAGGACCGGACCGGGGACAGGAGTCAAGTCGGAAATGTCCCTGGAGGTTCTTTATCTTGGAGGAACATCCCTCATACTGCTGAACCGGTAATACGGTGTAGTGGGTAGCTGAGCGGTTAAAGCGTTCGCTCGTCAGCCGTAAACTCGGGGTCGAATCTATGCAGATGGTTCATATTTCCTCTACCACATGGGTACAATGTGTGAAGCTCATTTCTGGTGTCCCCCGCCGTGATATTGCTGGAATATTGCTAAAAGCGGCGTAAAACTAAACTCACTCACTCCCTCACTCATATTTCCTCTCTTTAGCATCTATCACCTGGGATCACAATGTATTATGATACCCGTCTTTTGTATGACATGTGCAAAGAAGCTAAATGGTCAATGTAGAATCTGTATTGGCAATATGATTTTATATTGGTATCACTTCAGTCGAACTATGTATATCTTGACATAATCTGCAGGGCCAAAAAAACTTGGATTTGACCAAGAATTGTTTATATCAAAATGTAACTAAGCTGAAAACAGGTCCTGAAACACAGCAAACGTAAGGTCCAAATCAAAACAATGATGCTCGCATCAAATAAATACACGCTTTTGGTTTGTATTAAACCATTAAACATAACAATCTTTAAACATAACAGCCTTTAATGATAAGAACCTTTAATCATAACAACCATTAAACACGGATGTATACTTTCTTTTTTCCGTCAGCGTATATTGATTTTCAACATATTTCGGTTTGGTTTCATTCTGTATGACAAACACATTGGTGTCACCTTATATTAAAATTAACAATTTATTTATTAGTTACCTCTTTGACATTTCCGCTAAACTATATCAGTCAGCTAGGAAGAATTTATGTTATTTATCTTTTATCATCAGTTTAAAATTCCTGCGAATAATATGGGTCATGTGACATGGGACGAATTGTTCGGATGTAACGGTATGTCACATTGCACTTTAATACGGCGTAAATCAATTTGAAATGTCAACCAAGCTCCTGAGACATGAGGACCTTTTGATTAATGGACAGGTTGCATTATGGAATAGGCAGCGGAATGATACCAACACTGAGACTGGACACCGAGGTTATGGAATCCTATACGGAACATTGTCGCGTCGCTTTGTCGCATCGCTTTGTCGCATCGCATTGTCAAGTTGTCAAAAATATGCAAAACGTTGTCACATTGCCGCGTTGAGGCTATGTCGAGTTTTCACTACTATTTAAATTTACACCAAATGATGTCAAAGCAACAAGGTGAAAATATGTCGTATTTAATGAGTAATGTGCGGCAACGCAACATCGTGATAGACGACATATCGGGGAGGTGCATTTATTTCGATTATTTCTTACATATGGTGACGTTTAAGTCAATTTATCAAAGCGTGCACAAAAATGGTTATATCTCCTTTCCAAACACAAGTGCTCTTTTCTACATCTATTCAACTGATAGGAATGCCAAAGGCAATATGGATTGTTTTTCTCCACTGGAAAACCTATTTTAGAAATTATTCCATATATCTTTATTGCTTAAATCGACGGTATCCTTTAGAAAGTAAAAATTAAGTGCTAAATACATGAGACACGTGAAGATCCGTGTTAGAATTGGTCTTCAGTAACCAATGCTTGTCGTAAGAGGCGACTAACGGGATCGGGTGGTCAGGCTCGCTGATTTGAATGACACGTCATCGTATCCCAATTACGTAGACCGATGCTCTTGCTGATGATCACTGGATTGTCTGTTCCAGACTGGATTATTTACAGACCGCCGCCATATAACTGGAATATTGCTGAGTGCGGCGTTAAACAACAGTCAACCAATCTAAGTATATGAACATGACGTTTTCATTGTGAGAAGACAAACTATTGCTATGGGTACTAGAATTGTTTAGAATAATTGGAGTTCACAAACACAGGACAAACACTGAAAAAGATTGTAACCAGTTATTCGCAACGTAGTTTAGTTCACTTACGACACAATTTGACAACGCGACAATGTCCCTTATAGGTTTCCATAGAAGGTACAGCGATCACCCGACGACTGTGGATTATTTTACAAGGTAAAACCTCAGTAATCCGACAGGTGAATGTCTTCAACTCCATCAGAACAGCGGCAATGTATCGTTACGGGATCCTGTGAATAGTTTTACTATTTTGTTTGGTACCTGGGTATTCCGTTCATAGCTTGTAACAGTATGCTTCAGTAGGTGCAATGAGATTTAACGGAATTATGGTTCCCGGACTATAGAGATCCTCGGTGTTGCTGCGACCACCTCAGTTAGAATATATGTAATAATTCAGTCTTATTGAGAGTATTTTCCGTACGCTTCTCTCAGCTGCAAATCATTTGCGGTACGCCAAGGGGGTAATTGTTCATACATAGCTTCTCATGTTCTGGGGGCGGTGGGGTAGCCTAATGGTTAAAGCGTTGGCTCGTCACGCCGAGGACCCGGGTTCGAATCCCCACATGGGTACAATGTGTGAAGCCCATTTCTGGTGTCCCCCGCCGTGATGTTGCTGGAATATTGCTAAAAGCGGCGTAAAACCAAAACTCAGTCAGTCAGTCAGTCTCATGTTCTGTGCTTGATTCAGTTTGTAATAACTACTTATCTGCATCAGGCGATACACTGCTTTTGCATTGACCACACATACATGGTCAGTGAGTGAAATTTAAGGCGCATTTTGGGGGCTGGATGTAAGCACAATGATTGGTCTCCGATGCTGTGCCCCATTTCAATGGTTGAGGCCGAGCTACACTGTAACCGGTGTACCCACAATATCATCCCGACCCCGAGTTTAGTTTTACGCCGCACTCAGAAATATTCCAGCTATATGGCGGCGGTCTGTAAATGATCGAGTCTGGACCAGACAATCAAGTGATCAAAAGCATGAGCATCGATCTGCGCAATTGGGAAACGATGACATGAGCCAACCATGACAGCGAGCCTGACCACCCGATCCCGTTAGTCGCTTCTTACGACAAGCACGGGTTACTGAAGATCAATTCTAACCCGGACCGTCACGGGCCACCCACTCTATCAGACAGGTACACTGGGTGCGTTAATTACAATATTTCAGCATTTTGTCTAAGCCAAGGACTAATACACAGTTTGTTGTTTAACGCCACACTCAGCAATACTCCAGCTACATGACGGCCGCCTGTAAATAAACGAGTCTGGACCAGACAATCCTGTGACTGACATTATGAACATCGATCTACGCAACTGGGATACCAAGTTAACCAAGTGAGCGAGTCTGGCCACCCAATTCCGTTACTTGCCTCTTATTATTACGACAAGCATGGTTGCTGAAACCAATTCGAATCCGAATGTTCATGGGTGATTAATACACAGAATATGATAGATACACTACCGATCAATAGAGAGTACACCAATTCCGGTGATGGCTGAATATAACCTAAACATGAAAATTGTTTTTGAATGGTATTGTATTTATTACAGGTGTCATAGTGGGTTTTGGACCTTGAGTTTTGTGTTTTGGCGACTGTTTCCAGTATTGTAATGTTTTTGGTCGAATCAAATCCCCGAATCTATACTTTCGTTTACCAGGCATTCTATTTCAGTAACAGTTCAATCTTACCTTTGCATCAGTTGTTTCAACATCAATTACATCTTTGTCATCACTTGCACTTTCATCAGTGACGTTATCGGCAAAACGCGCCCCAGGGTCGAGGTCATTCTTCTCCACGTCGATGCTGCTGTCAGGTTCTGTAGTGGTCAGTCTCTGTTTCTTGGCCGGTGATGGTTCCTCACTCCCTAAGTCTGTGCTTTCAGTACTTGATTCAGGCTCGACTTCTATTTTGTTCGACGGCTCAACCCTTTTCTTGTTGGCTAGCTCGACTTTCTCCGGAAAACACGGCTGTGACGGCAGCGCCGACATTGACGTCATTGATGATGACACGGGAGCCATGCCCGAAGGCGCTGGCAGGAGGTGTCCATCAGGCCAGTTCCTGGGGGCGGGGTAAGGGATATTCAATGGTAGACAGGAACCGTGTCCTGGTAGTCCATACTGTTCGGGTTTGCCACCATGAGCCGGAACGTTATGGGGTGACTGAGGAAAATCCAATTTTCCTGTCCACGGATTGTTGTAAGGGAGGCTCAGAGATCTCAAATAGTCTCCGTATGAGGTGATCCTTCCGAACATGGGGTTCGGGAAAGCTGAATGTGTCCGGCTTGTTGGTGGGACGAAGGCACCAAAATATGGATTACTACCTAGTCGTTGGAAAGGTGAATCTGTAGGGCCAACATCAGCAACTTCAGACCGGGGCATGAACGATGACGATAACGACCTACTGCTGCTGGAGAACCTCTTCCTACAACCGCCATTAAACATAGCTTTCACATCCTCCCATGCATGCATTAATGTCTCAGACGGGTTGTCGTCTGCCAAAACAAGATGGCGGCGCCACGAATTAAAGTTGGCTGCATCCGGGTGTTTGTATTCTCCTCCTGCAAGTTTGTGATAATGGAATATGAACTTATTGGGCGAGAAATATGCGTCGCAGGTGAGGCACTTAATGCACTTTGCTCGGGAGCTGTTGTATCGGGAAGGCATGAAGAGTCCTTTAGATCCCCATCCACAAGCGTGACTCACTTTGAAGGCAAAGTCCTCAGGAAGTCTTGGGGGTGGAATGTCCTCAATGAAAGATTTGACTAGCCTCTCCGCCTCCCGTTTCGTGATGAGCCCACACCGGCGGGATGACACTGGCATGGCTCCTGTGCGTCTGAGGATCTCTAGTTGTGAGGGAGAACACTGCATACATGTGATGCCCAGAGCAACACGGCGGTTATGGATCTCGTTGTAACTGAAATCCCGCAAGATTGTGTTGGAAATTTGAGCAAGACAGAGTCTTTCTTTGTTGTCAATATGTAAGCAAACAATAGGAACGCTAAACAACATGACAGTGCCGACACGATCCTCTCCCATCTGTTTCTCGGAGTTGTTCCCCTTGTCCCGTGGTGACGCCATTGTAAGCATGGAAAGTGAAGTGTCAATAAAGTTTGAAATTTGTGAAGAACCGAGACTATCCTTCTGACTCTGAAGAAGGCCTCTGACACCACACTGATCTGAATGCAAAGAAAACAGATTGAGCAAATAGACTGTGTGTTGTTTTTCTGTTTATTGATAAACACATATAAATTATAAATCCAAATAACGTATAAGTTGAATGTCGGCTAATATATGATCAAGTCGAAGACAATACACAACTGTCAATAATATTATCTATGATTAGAGCCGTCGGCGTACAATAAACATCGTCAGTCAATCCCCATTTCGTGACCACCTAATCAACATCAAGTATTCTGATGACAATATCCATGCGATCCCCTTCCAAACCCTTTTCAACTAAAACGTAGGCCCCATTTCACAACGCGATCGTAGCGTTAAGACTACCGTAAGTTACGATAGTCTTAGCGCTAAGACTGCTTTCTGAAACGACGGACTTCAGGTACAAAGAGGTTTCTGTAACGCCGGAACGCCGAACAACGCGTGTGAAACATACTCCAGGGGCGGAGGACCCGAGGCTGAAGCAGGTAACAGGAGATCGTCATCCAACAATGTTATAAGATTAGTCATTCAGAGAGCAGGAGAAAACAGCTTCCGGGAAAGGCAGATGTCTCAAATAGCATTTTGTCACGCAGTGAAACAGTAGAGACGAGGTGTTAGTTGCAGGTTAAACAAGCGGGTCACGGACACCGGGTTTTGTTTTACAACTTGACAATGTATCAGTGACATCGCTTGAGCAATAAGGTCACAACTTCATTCATTCATTCATTCATTCATTCAATATTTTCTGTTCCGATGTTATGTCAATACTTTCATTCTGAATCGTAAAAAGCATTTAACTATTACAAAATGAGTTAACCATTTTTGTTTAGCAATTTATAAATTTATTATTCCATGACAACACTTGAGCAATATGGAAACAGTTTCATTCATTCATTCATTCATTCATTCATTCAATAATTTCTGTTCCAATGGTATGTTTATTCTTCATTCATATCTTCATCTAATATCTTTCTGAACCGTCAAAAAAGCATTTAACTATTCAAAATGAGTTAAGCATTTAACTATTCAAAATGAGTTAAGCATTTAACTATTCAAAATGAGTTAAGCATTTAACTATTCAAAATGAGTTAAGCATTTAACTATTCAAAATGAGTTAAGCATTTAACTATTCAAAATGAGTTAACCATTTTATGTTTATTCCTCCTGTTCATTATATTTTTTCAATTCCTCTTTCATTCATTCATTTATCTGCTCATGTAAATATGTAAAATATTGCTTTCTTATTTGTCATTTATATACATTATGCTTTTAGAAAGAAATAAGTATATAATGTCAAATGACTTAATGTATTATTATCTTGTTTCAAATGAGAAACGTTATGTTATACACATTTATATCATTGCACTTGATATACGCTTCTATCACTGTAAGACAATATGCCTTTGAAAGCTCCTAATAGCTTTTCGGACCACAAGTGACTATTATTTTCAATTAAATTATGTATCAAGATAGACAATCAAATCAATAAAAACCATCAGTCGACGACAACAGATGAAGTGAACACTTTAGAACTGATGTGTTTATGTAAGATTTCATATTCCATGAATATTGCAGAGAGATTAATTCTGTGTTGAGTAATATCTTCAACTATCGCAACAAAAAGCTTAAAACATGATGTTACTTGTAGCGCGTCTTGGGAAGACATTAATAATTTAACCCGAAGAATTCCCATCCTTCATAATCAAGACTCGTAAAATACTAACAGCATCATAGACAAAACATTCATTAATGCAATTTATATTTATTGACTTTTCAAGCCATTTGTTTTAAACACGTGCCATGAAATGAAAAACGCCCTGTGAAAATAAAGAATACTATAAAGAGGAGAGTTGACAATAGAGGCTGTTAAACCATATGACCAGATCTCCGCCACGTGTTGTTTATATGAATTACTAAACACCTGGTGGTCACGTGGGAGTTACTGACAATAGCATGATGATTATCTGTCTGTCGTGATGAAATCTACGTGTCAAAATCTCCGCGCCGCATCAGGTAAATATAACCTAGGACAAAACAAAGACGTTCAAGTTTAAAATCAATTTTTAAACAGCAGTTGTAATAATATACGTGTATTGACCAGAGCAGATTTGCTACAACCAGGTGTCCCCGTGTTATAACTAGTACCTAAAAAGCTGTTTTTGAATTAATCTTGTGTTGATTTGTATTTAAAATGATATAATTTAATTCTTTATTATTTTAATTAGTAGTTAAATTATTTTGCTCTAGGCGCTCTATGTTCACCAGCGAGAAACAGTTATTCGTCATCATCGTCATCGTCGTCATCATTATCATCACCATCATTTGCAAAAACTATTATTATTACTGGTTGTATTAAATAATTATTTTTTATTTTATTTTTAAATAATGATTAAATTATAATCTTTTCAAGATACCAGTGCCTAAGCGGCAGATAACTTTATGAAGATCTTATTATATCTTATTATTTACATATGCCAAAATGGGGCATTTTAGCAAATGGATGAGAAATGTCTCCTGTAGATACTCGCGATGGAACCTGTACAAACTTTATGAACAACTTTCTACACATCTCTTGAATTCAACAAAGTCTCCGAGCTTGATCACCTGCTCCACATACTCCACGTCAAGTATAGGTTTCCGAGGGCCTATTGTAAACCGAATGACTACGACAAGTCATATAACACATAACAAGCGATAAGGTCTGGTCAAATGGGATTTACCGTCGGGTTTAAGACTATTCCACTTATATTGAAACGTGCATTCATGTGCGTGCGCGGCTGTTTGTACCGGTCAGACCTCAGGCCAGTTTTACAATGTATGCTGTTTAACGCCGCAACTGGGATACAATGACATGTGTCAACCAAGTCAGCCAGTCTCTGACCACCCGATCCCGTTAGTCGCTTCTTACGACAAGCATGGGTTACTGGAGTCAGTAATAGAGCGGACATCTACAACGTTAGCCTAATGAGATACCATACATGGATACTTCACTCAGATACATTATACTGATCCGATCCGACAATTCTTGTTTTATCCCCTTAGTGTCGAGGGTCAACCATGGGAAAACAGGTGCAATCCTTTCACGTCTTTATGTATGAAGCGTCAGGGAACCGAACCACAGACCTATCACTCACCAGGAAGACACTTCATCCATGAGACCAAGGAGGTGGTATAAAAGGTGAAAAAGATATTAACGGACCCAGACGGACTATTGCATTTCAGCGTTAAAACATCTGTTTTAAGATATATTATTAAGTAGAAAATACATTTGACCTAACATTACATGCCAATATTAAAATCCCGATACCTTTCAACAGTTAGCTCATTCATAGCAAACTATGAATTTCTCTGTTAAAACATGTTACAAACGGAAAAGCTTTTCAACTTTCCAGACAGATATGCATTTATTTTAAAAATATATATTTTAATCAATATATGTGCAACTTGATGAAATATACCTCAACTTACCACATGTATAAATGTCATATACTCCGGAGAATGTCACTCCGAAAAACACGTCAATTTGTATGAAACATTGCAAGAAACCATTCCGTAATCCATTTGGCTTTTAAAACTGTTAAATACTGGAAATATACACAATGATCGTCTCCCACTGAAGATGCTCCAAAACCTCACCGAACTGTACAAACCCCTTAAAGATACACCTTTAAGCTAACCAGTCCATCACAAACTGAAAAAATGATTAAACCAGAAACATCAGACCTGCTTCAACAAACTATATCAACAGTGTACAGATATCGTCTCAGCGATACCACACCTTAATATCAGTAATGGGTTTGACATTTCACTTCACTAATGATATAAAAATGATAGCTTTATTCAATTAGTCAATACTGGCTCATATCACTTTTCTGACTCCAAACACCAAAACACTATCGACTGGCTACTAATCTCTATCTGCTGTCCGTGTAAGTACCACAGAACGAGTACACCGTACGCGTTAGGTTTAGTAAGGCGATATGGTATCAGCCAAGGGGCAGTCTTATCTCCCTGTCTAATTACCACCGACGCCACTCAAGCAAGAGTCGTATCTTTGATAGTCTAAACTGTGATACTACATTACTGAATGAGTATTCAACCAGGAAGGTTAACTCCTAAAACGTATATACTTTCACAAGTTACAATCTTCACTTTTTTATCTAGACTAGATATGCTGGAAGTATCTTCTATCAATAGGTTTAAACTTTTATGTGAAATACTATATCGCCGTTTGTGTTGGATATCTGGTCTCTCTGAAGAAGATGCTGCATCTTACATTTTGTATATTGATTTTAAATGATATTGACGCGATGATGGGAAGAGGGGGTTTATATGTTTTAGATTATCTTAGATTAATATAACTTGATTTGCAGGAAAGATGTAATATTAGACGTTCGTGTTATATTCGAGTATTGATGTTTGATTCTACTGTAACGCCTACGGTAATTGGGAAACTTTCGATTTCGAAAGCAGGTTTGTGTTTTTAAACACCACGGCTTTTCGGAGATTAATAATGTCCATATATGGATTCATATATAAATACACTACCACGCAAAAGAAAGTGTATACTTCAAATTGATTTGACCAAACAATTACAAAAGTTATCAAAATGCTACAGAATTACTCCAAACTTAAGGACACACCTGTGATACTCGTATAAAATACATCACTGTCGTATAAACTCGTATGAAATACTTCACTATCATATAAACTTGTATAAAATACATCACTATCATATAACCATATGACTGATTTCTTTAATTTCGAACCACCATTAAACATGGATGTATACTCTTTGCCCCACAGTGCCTTAACCTATCGAAGCTATCGGGTACAAGTATTATGGTGAGAGCGCTATTTCAAAGTGATGTGTTCGTTTTGGTAAATTTGAACTAATATGCCTAATATTATTCACATGCAAAAGTAACCGATCATATTATTAAACAAAATAGTTTTTGATGTAGTTTTTCAAACGCACGATTCAAACCTGACCAATTTGCAAACAAATATTTTGACA